GGGGGGAGAGGGGGGTTAGCTCTCAGGCTAGCTTCTCTAACACTGATAATCAGTCTGCCAGGGGATGTTCTTCTAACACTGGTTTCCGTATCGTCTTGCAAGGCTTTCTTTCCCATCAAGGTTACTGTGCAACTGATCCCACCTACGCAGTTCGCCCAACTGATATACTTGAGTGCTCTTCAGCTAAACTGATGCTTTCCAGTAGAAACATACTAATTTAAATAATTCGGGAGAGTGATTATCTCCGCTTCACTGCTCACTGCACTGAGAGGCAGAAACATCCCACGTTGGAGAGGTGGATAATTTAGGTGGAATGGAATAATACTTCCTGCATTCGTTGTATTTTCTAATCATTTCAATTAATTTCTAATCATTTCAATTGCAAAAAACGATTGTAGGCATCTGAAAGCGCGGTGCGCTTACGAATCAAATGTAAACTCCAACTCTTCCCCCCTCCCCACAGACTTGATGTTGTGCTCATGGTTACAGAATCAGCCTTAGTCAGTACAAGTAGTCTTCAGCATTGGGGACCTACAGTTTCGTTCAGGTTTCGAATTATTGAAGAAACGCTCAGTTGGCGAGTAACAATAAGACGCCATGCGCTGTCTCTTAACCTGTCTATGTTTACATTTGGAAATAAATATATGACCACAAAAAAAAAAACACCTGGAGACGGTCAGGAAAAGCAAAATAACAACTCGGCGGATGTTGTTTCAAAAATTGGACCGATTTGGTTAACTTATCCTAGAAAGGCATTGATCGGTATGAGGGAAAAATCAGCCTAACGATAATGGAAATGAATGATATAGCCATCAAATAAGAATTGAACTATAGTTTGCCGTCGATACAGAGGCCTGTCGGTTGCCATGGTAGGAACCAGTCATGTCGAACAATGGCGTTCATTGAAATAATTTGCATGCCTGGGCAAAGCCCGCCCGATGGCCTGCAGAAGTTTCTGGCCTATCTTATAGCGCCTCCTTAAGCGAGACTGCAAAAAATTAGAATACTATCATCACCGTCTCATTGGAAATAGTTCCAAATTTAGTCCACTGAATTTGTTGTTCTCTCGTTTACAGAAAAGTGCGTGATGAACTCGCGTCCTGCGAAAAAATGCGGAGAGCAGTTAAGAAGTCCTAATGACTAATTAATGAGCTGGTATCATCTCAGGAGATGAACATTATTAGCGTACTACTGAGATGTATTTCATACTCAACTGGTAGGGACAGAAACCTTCTTTCAGCAATGTCTTTGGCGGATCATTCCCTCTCAGCCTGTTCAGATATAGATTTGCTCCTCATGCGGAAGAGACAACAAGTGTAGTGTTTCATTTACGCATTATTCGAGGAAATTTACAGTGTGAGTGTTTTTTCATGGCTATCTGTTAAATCCTCGTCAACACAGACGAATGTTTTCCGATTCTGTAGTTCACATTTTAAAAACAGTAAAGAAAGGAAAGAAGTCATTCACTAACTCCTTTGTTTAGGTTCAGTGGGCATACAACGTGTGGAATGTTATCTACGTGCTCAAGCGTAAAGTCTGCTACTGTCGATACGGCACGTGAAGGAGACCTTTGGTGGAATTGAACGGCGAAACTTTCTTCAGCAGCGTTGGAATATTTATTTTTTTACTATAGCGTGAACTCCCTCAACCTGACAGAACATGAGTGACTTATTCGTGCTTCTCGCTTGTTCCATGAGCCAAAAATACTCTGAAGGTAAACAGACCTTTGAGTTGCAATGACCATAATCGACCTCTGTCCATGATCCGATTGTTCATCAAGGCAATTGTGACTATAATTTGAAAATACATCAAGTTTTGACAGGTAATTTCTGCTAATCAAACTACTTAGTTGCGGTGATTGCTGTTTTTCCACTTGATCTTACCCAGTTACATTGGCATCCCTCCAACCCCTTCCAAAAGTCTTTCTGAGGTTTTCTCGAAAGTCTTTTAAACAAAGATAAAACGGACGTTTTTTGCTCCAAGGATGCTTCTCGTTTGTTGCAAACATGTGGTTTTCAAACGATATCTTCCTTAATTCATCGGATGCTGGTAAGCTTTTGGGTGCAAACCGAGAAAAGTTACCACAGGCGACCTGGCCGCGATAATGTGTCAATTGGGTGATTCGGCCCCCTTTCGTAAAATAACGTTCAAATAGTCACTGTTTAGATATCCTGGAATAAACCGCTGCTTACTACGTTCACCATTGTTATCCCCTGCAGCTTTCTTTGTTCTTTGAAGAAGTAGTGGGGTTGTTTTTTGTCCAACGTACAAAGAAAAAAACTCTAACTTGGTGTAAATATCCTGCTTCAAAAGAGATCGTTTTTCGCTCGCGAGTTTTTAGAGGACAGTTTATCTTCTTGAATGGCATTAAATTCATATATGGTTAGAGTCATCATTGAATCAAGGAAATTTTCATGTATTTTATTATTACATAATCACATGAATTTTCTCGTGCAATTTGGAATAAATAAGCCTTGTAAATGTTTTCAAAGACCACAAATAGCACTCGCCTTACGGGCTCATGCAATTTTGTTAGTCTTTGCATTCGAAATCGTGTGATTACCCATACATAGTATACTGCCTTAGGCTACACTTGACTTGGAAGCAGACCTTTCTAAGCAATTTGAACAAAACTGGCAGGGCTTTATACAAGACTATTTAATTAGACTAAAATTATCACGTTTTTATTCTATACACTATCAAAAAGAAAATCAAATATTAATATAAAATAAAACCGAAGAGACTATGACAACTTCCATTACATTTTACGAACAAAACTAGTTACGAAATAAGAAACGCAGTTCAGAAGTCCGTGTGATGGCTGCATGTATACCTTGAGGAATGAATATTTTTCTTCTATTGTATCACGTAGGCAATTGCAAAGAACGGAAATCCTGTTGATAAATTTCTGCTTTTCATTCAACAAAAACAGATGAAGGGCACTCTAGAGGCATTTCCGCGGCGTTCAGTAATTTTTTAAGCATTTCTTTCAAGAAAACACTTCTTCAACCAGAGACAACATTAACAGTCAATCATTTATAAAAATCATATAAAACGGGAACTTGTCCAAAGTTCCCAGGTTTCCCTTTCTAAATTCAGTTCAATTTTCAAGGATGTGTTGCCAAATCCATAATCCTCGAGTGATGCCGATTTGTTATTTGTTGAGGCTTCTTTCCGCGGAAGGGTTATAATTGGTAATTTTACCCCGTTCCATGGCGTTTAACCGCTGACCCCCTAAGACCGATACAATAAGCACCTAGTTTCTCCTTACAAGGTCACATCTAAACCAAGCAATAGGTCACAAGAGTAAAGGAAATGATCACAAGAAGCTCTAAATTGTTAAACAAATTCTCCTTGTCAAAACATTAGGAAATATAGAGAGAACAGTATGGAGAATATGCATACTGATGTTGAGGTATAATAGGTCAACTCACTGGCGGCGGAGCAGGAAGGACTCTAGCCCTCCAAAACAAACATTTGGGGGTACGGCAGCCCCTTCCCCAGAAATTATAACTAGAATGGGAGGATTATACTCTCACTGCCCTTGACTCGTCTCAAACCTTCCCGCGGGTGGACAAACACGCGTCTTGCAGCGCTAATAATGAGAGCCTGTGGCTAATCTCCACACAAAATGCTCACGATCACGAAATCCAAAGATTCTACCTATCAAGGGCTTTGCATATGGAAACAGTAAAGTTCTTAGAAGAACTGCAGAAAAATATGTCGGCTTAGCGATGTTAGGTTATTAATAATCGAGTCCATGTTGCTGGAACACTTTTCTGAGAGCATGTGAAGCTTCCTGCTGTATTTTTTAGAATGTCCTCCTGAGAGTCCGCGTCATCAAAAGACACTGAAAAATAACTCATCTGATGGCTTTCAAAAAAACTGATGAAAATGCCATCGATGGCTCATAGCCTCGTCCTTTGAACTGGAAATATCTAGCACGTCGTTAAAATTTCGTCTTTCACTTCCATGAGGTCTTTGTCATTTTTATATACCTTCCTCGCCCCGTCCCCCTCTCCCCTCGAGACACACACATGCACACAAAATCATCAGAGTGGCAACAAGTTCATATTCAAAATTTCAAAATTTCTCTTCTGAGATAGAGCGTTACACCGTAATTCTAATTAATTTACTAGCGTAATGACCTCCCGGTAGCATGCAGGGAAAAAATGATAAAATTTGGTAAAAACCGCAAGCCAAAGACAAGAGCTCAGCAAGCTTTTTGCTGTTGTTTGTAGCGTTCTCCCAACATCCTTAGAGGGTTATTTATCTACAGGTAAACCACATGCACAACGATAGAAAGGACGGACTATTGTTTTTATAAAATAGCTTTGGGTTTACTGGTTCCATTAAAGACAGGATTTTAACCATCAAACTGCGTGTGGAATCTTATTTTTTTTTTTTATTGAAAAAAAAAAAAAATAGGAGAGAGAGGGAGAGAGAGGAAAAGCTTCATTTTTCCTCTATCCAGCTTAAATTAGATAAATTACACCATAAACTGAAAGGATCGCTTATATTTGACCTGAGTCAATGATTAGCTGACCATTTGGGCCTCAGACATGCATTGCGACCAGACGAATCACAGATGTAACAATATGAAAAACGAAATAAGTCGTAGACTGATGAGTTTGCACGAAGCCTTGCCTTTTAGAGACAGTTTAGCTGCTTCAACGACTTAAACTACCAAACCGGCAACAGATGTGGAAACGGAGAAACCCTAATCGCTTCCAGAAGTGCTTTGTTTTCCGTAAATGGACTTAACCACAAATAGATTGAGTTTTAATTAGCCCATCCTTTTAATAAAACATCATTTTTATCCATACCAATTTGCAATTTGATAAGAGAAATCGTCATTGCAATTTTGTACTAACAAAGCTCTCGGAAAGCCACCGGTCCGATTTGTTTATAACACCTGTGGACCATGATCACTTTCATTCACTCCGTTCTTTATTGTGACCAGCTACCAGTAACGAACCATGATTATTTTATGTGTTATATATTTTGTCTAAGTCAGTGGTCGCGACCGACTTTCTAGTACTACCACAGACAATACAATGATGGAGCTTAAGCGTGTTTTAGTTTTCCTTCTCTTAGCTGCTTTCCTTGTTACATGCTATGCAAGGCCGTCGAACGAGGTGAGTAAGTTAAATGGTGAATTTTCGACGACTACAGTTGAATCCTAGGAGCTTAATTCAAATTTTATCTCAGGCGTGTAGCTTTTTCGGTCACATTGCATACGAAATGATTTTCTCGTCTGGGAAATGTTTGTAAAATAGAAGTCGACCTAAAAAATTGGCCAATTATCACAACACCAGCCATAATCGATCGAGGTTTGAAGCTTTTGTATGATTACAGACAAAATCATCATGGCCTGACACATTAGTCTGTAGGAAGAGTTAAACACCAGAGTTCAGAGTCAGGAGTACACGTGACACGTGGGCTTGAGTAGAAGAGGAATAGATATTTCTTTTTTAAGCAAAAGGAATTGCCTGTGAAAGACTCTCCAAAAACGGCTCTCATCTTTTTCTGAGAAAGTGTCTCTTTTGTTTTGCTAAAGCATTTCGCAATCCTTCCTCCAATTAGAACCTAGCAAAATTTTCGCTCTTTCTTAGTTATTCTTTTTCTCAGATCACAAAAGGCAAAGTTTTCTTGCCTCAGCTTTTTCCTTGAGCGTCGAGAACAGAACTTTGTCAAGAACGTATGGAGCAACTACTCTAAACATGATCGGCGCTTCTCTACAGATCGATACAGCGAGGTGTGCCGTTGACAACGACGTTTCAGGTTTTGGACGTTCGAGAATTCGGTGCTAAAATTAATTCTAAGGATTGGGACCCGATGGAAAATAAAGAGCCTGAGCTGGAGTTAACGTGTGTCCAAGTTTTAGAGAATTAGCTTTATTTTCAAATAGCAGAGTATCTCCTTGTGGGTCCCTCTATGATGATTTTAGTTAATTCTCATTAATCTTTTAACGCGTTTGCTGTTAAAGCAATCCTCTTTGTTAAAGCATCTCATTGAATCTTGATGGCCTAAAGAAGCTGCTTAAATGAACATTTTTGGCCATGAAATAGTTCTTCAAAAGAAACACAGAGCAGTTTTCCACTTCTGGGAGCGAAGGAGAAGGTGCACTTAACCTTTACCGAAAAAGCAAAATGATTTATCTTTTTCATTTCTCTGAAATAACGAATTAGGCTCCACATGCATTCACTCGAAATGCTCAATATGAAGTTTTTTTAGTACTATTTACTTTCTTGTTGTAGGAATTGCTTTCGTTCTCTTCTAAATTTTATGATTTCGGCCGCCATTTTTTAAGAAAGGTCTATTGAAGCAAGCAAGAGAACAAGTCTTCTTGATACCCGTTGATTCTACCTGGAACTGCGTGCGGTTTAAACATGACAACAATAAGTATAAATTCCGCCGATGACTTTCATGTTTTCCCTTTAGTTTAAAGCGTAGAAAACATGCGATCTAAGTGGTGACTAAAAAGCGAGCATCAGAGTCATGACTTCTTCAAGTTTCATTGCAAGGTTTTAATTTTTTTCTTTTTTTTTTTTACCATGATCAACCAACGCAAACATGTTTAAAACTTAGAGAGCTACTTGAATACAAGCCTGCATCAAGCTCTCTCAGTTAGTGGAGATTAGATGAACAAACTTGGGAGAGAGCGAGAGAAAGTTGGTCAGATTTTTGAAGTTATCCCCCTCTCGCCCCCCTCTCGCCCCCTCCCTTTGTCCCCGCTTTTCCGCTCGTCCCCTCAGTCTAAATCAAGCTGCTGGAGCATTTAGTTGAAACAAAAATATTTGCCAACTTAAAGGAATACCACTCCTTTCAACTTTACACTGGACCTATTTTACACTGATTTCTTTTTTGATATTTCCAAGGATGATCGTGAAGTTGAAGAAGACTTTGATGACAGTTACATCGCTGAAGAAGGTAACAACTCTCTTTTTTAAACTCGTATCTTTAATGACACACAAGCTCCCACCGGTTCAGTGCGAAGTATATATTTGTGCCCAGGCTTCTGGCGCGTTTTGCTGGAACAAATCGCTTGAGGTCAGTAAGCCACCGTTGACGATCAAAGCTGAAAATAAAAACAGTATTAGGGACCAGTGATAATTTATTGCCAGAATAGCCGTTGGTATAATTTTAACATATTTAGTAACAAGCAATGCAAACAGGGTGGAGAAGAGGCCAGCGAAAGAGATAACAAGAAAGTACAAGAGTTGTTTACCTTTTTTAACTTTTAGAAGCTAAACCAGAGGAAGGAGCAGAGGAGAGCGGAAGTGCAGAGGAAACCACCCCGGCTCCTCCTGCTGAAGGAGCTACCACGCCACCTGCGGGAGGAGTTGCTCCTCCTCCCCCAGCTGCAGGGCCTCCACCTCCACCAAATCCTCTTGTTGACGGAGTTGTGAGTATTTTCGTTCATCATTTCGTAGGTTTGTTTCATAGACTCTGAGCAGCCTTTCTTTGGTGTTGCTGCACAAGGGTTCCTTAGAAATTTTGAGGCGGCGAGAAATTAGAAATCTGGGACAAAAAATCAAAAAATTCTTTGATTTCTCCTGTTCCTGGGGTCCTAAAAACAAAGAGGAGTCATGTATGCCTCGCACAATAAACAACTTTTACAGCAAGTCCCATGGGAGACCTATTTGACCTCGACCTGCAATGATAATTATTATTCTGATCCAAGCACTGCGGATTATTTCCTTTGGCTCGAAAGGAGTATATCTTGTCACTTTCCGACTGAGTATCGCAAAACCAAAACCAAAGTCATTACAGCGGCCAATGAGAAGAAAGTAAAATACCCTGAAGGGCCAATGAGAAGTCCCTCTAAACCACGGAAAAATGCGGTCGACCTAGTCGCGTGTGATTGGTTGAGAGAGTTACGCGGGTTTTCTAAACCAATCACTGAGCAAGGGGAAAAAAAACCAATGCGGTCCCACGGCAGATTTCTTTCAGTGCTCAATTCTGAATTGCCCCAAAGAAAAGAATGGCGTTAACTTTTGCCACTAAAGGAAGATGTCATTTTCATTCGCTTTCCTTTCAGTTTTAGTTACTCGTTCCGTCTCTGATACACTTGCCAAAACAATGTCTTTCTTAGATGTTAAATTTGGCGGAAGAGGAGCTGTCTTGTGATAAATGTTTTCGTGTTTCTTCCCCTCTTTAAATAACGAAGAAAACAAAGTTTCTCAATTGTACTGTTGCCGATAAGATGAATGACATGCTGTTTCAATTCGTAGAATAAAGCCTGCGCTGACTTCCAAGCCTGCGCTGCACAAGGCGACCCCTCGATGTGCCTCGGGCAGATGGTGGCTGCTTTAACAACGTTGATGAGTGGAGGTGGAGCTCCCTGCCAAGGCGGAGCAGTAGTACCAGCACCAGAACCCATCCCATGCCCGATGCCGATGCCAATGCCGGCACCAATGCCGGCACCATACCCCATGCCTTATCCCGTGCAGCCGTCCTCATGTGGCGGCACGTATCCGTGCAAAGACAAGCCATCGAAGGGAAAGAAGAAACACCAGGATAAGAAACAACATAAGAAGGATGAGGAGCACGAGACCCGTGGATTACGTTTTTAAGACACCAGGCTAGGAAGGTAGTCGAAGGAGATTGAATATCAACCTGTTATTTTGAAATAGACTCGGTATTCACAGCCTCGTACCTGTAACGACTATACCAAACGCAAGTGTTCCCTCCTTTTTAGAAGCTCATCAGGTTTGATACTCTGTAGTTGGTATTTTCGAGAAGTATGTAAAATACACATCGTGCAATGTAAACTTGTTTAAGAAAGAAGGAATAAAGTTCATCGTAAGAACTACATTCACTGCCACTTTCTCCAGATCTTTGGGTAATAACGCCTTCGTAAGACCTTGAATTGTTGAATACACGACGCTTTTTTAATTCTAAAATTTACCTTACTCCCAGCAACCTGTGGCTTCGTGGCTCAATTAATTCTGACCACCCAACTAATAAGTGGGAGGCACGGATTCAGCGTCCGTCGAGCCCTAAATTTTTTAGGCCTTCTTTTCCGCAGCTCATCTGCGAGGATCATTTCTTTTTTGGAGAGGTGATTCCTACCATCATTAAGAATGGGATTTGCCTTTAATTCGGTTACGAAATGATAATTTTTTTTATGAAATAAATGGGGAAAAGTCACCCAGGCAGTCAATCCACCCGTTTTATTTTACAAAGTCTTGACGGCCACCAGATGAAAGGTGGTCACCTGCTTAAGACGACCGCTGAGAAACAAAATTAAGAAAAAAATCAATGAATAACGAATTTTAAAGTCTTTTGTGTTAAAAGGAGCTATCTCGTTACAACCAGTCTAAAATAAATAAGCACAAAGTAATAAGGAAGCGATCCTAGACGACATGTGTTACCACTGAGCATTAAATCCAGTTCGCGTTAGGAACTTCTACAATGAATCAAATTAATCAAATTTGATTCATTGTAGGACTAATCAAATTTTTAGAATAAAACAAAGTCTTATTTGAAAACCAATATGGTTTCNCTTTTGTAGTAGTTCTTCGCGATGGCTGAGCATTGTGACCACTCTTTTCAATTCTCTCCAGTTGTTTCTGAAACTCCTAGCCACACAAAGAATTGGTTACAGTTGTCCTTAACTCGGTTAAATTACAACTGGTAGGCCTTATTTGATTTAGCCCTCTTAATGTAGTCTCAATATACATGTATTCTCAATATACAACAGTAGCAATCTGTAATCCACGTGTTCCTTCCACATAGACGTAAGAGTGAATTTGAGTTTGATAGAATTTCTGCTTTCAAATGAACGCCTACAGTTTTAGTTTAAAGAATTTAAAACAAAGGACGATAAGCCACCAGAGGGACACCGCGGAAATACGTTTTCGTGACGTCACAGTAACTGGTCAGTGGTCATCAACTTTACGCTGCGAAGCGCTTCCATATGTTTGTAGACTGAGTTCGATGAAGACATCAGCCTTTCGCGTGGTTTTAAGTTGGAAAATATGCATGATACTTCTCCTTGTTTGTTATATTTGATCCTTTGAATGTTTTTTTAATACTAAGACCACGTCTTAACAAATAGCGGTATAGTGGAGTCATTTTGTTTGGAGTTGTGTGCTGTTTGCTGACTTGAGCTGGTCGTCCAGTTACGAAGCACGATCCTGGCTCTTCAGTCGCCCTCGCCTTCAGAATTGTCAAAAACAGCGATAGTTATCCAGACAAAGCAGGAGATTAGTTCTGTAAGATACTTTTCCAGCGAGTCTGAAGACTGATTGGATTTTTAAGGGTTATTAGCATGAAGCGATACAGGTAATTATTGTGTTGTGAAAATATTCATACACTCACTTTGCACCGACGTGCGGTGCCCTTTCATTTTGGTAATTATTCACTTGGATGAGAATTTTACCTTTAGAGACTGATTTTTCGCCATTACACCCTTCTGGTTTTCTGTGCCTTTAAGAACGGGTGTCCGTAATCAAAATATGAAAACATTTGTTCATTTCATTTACTTGCAGTTTTATCAACAAGTTATCTGGTGAACAGGCACAACCAAACGTACTAAAGACATGTAATAGAGATCTACCATCAATTGCTGTCAATAAAGGCTTAATTCAAGATAAATTATAAATGAACCGATCATGTTTGACGGTCTCAAATATTGTATATTTTCAGCGCCCTCAATCAATCGCCTATATAATAATCTTTGTCGAGCCTTAGCGCAGCAAACAATTCACAATTTCTTCGATTTCCACTTCCTTTGTAAACATCACTAAACAAGCGTTATTCTGTTGTAACAATAGCTACTTTAATTTCCCAAACAGCTCTAATTGTGTTACACGAAAGCATTTTCAATGAAAGCCACTTTTTTATTGTTATTATTATTATCATTATTATTATATTTTTATAACTCAGTCATTTGAAACTTTTACAGGCACATGTATGTTTACCTGAAGTATAATCCACTGTCTTGCATGTGCATTGCATTAATTTATGCAAATAATCAACTACTCTTCTTCCATTCATTCTTTTTAAGATTAGCTTTGCTTTGCTTTACATACACATCTCATGCTCTGCCACTGTAAGGATAATTATGATCCCCATCAGTAATATTACATCATATCCCGACAACATTGTTATGAAACATTTCTATTTGACTTGTGGCCATTTTCTTTCAAGGTGGCAAAATATATGTATATTGCCAAAATTAGTTAAGAAGTCTTATTGACTACAACTAGTGTAGCCATACCAGTGCTCCCCTCCCCAGTAATAAGTTGGGAAAAGGACATTTGTATGGTGCTATCATTGGTTATGTTTGGGGATATCCCATCCCTGATTTTTATTTGACTGGATGGGCACAGCAGTACACAGGCTAATTACAAGCTTTTGGTTACTCCTCATGACTTAGTGTTAGTTAACTGGGAACTAACAACTGACTTAATCTAATCAATTTTCTCCTGAACATTTTTAACAAACAACTTTGACTTCAGAAATACTTCTGATAATTTCCCTCTGACATTTCTAATTTGGAAGATTAATCATCATAATCATTATGTTCTTTCCACCTCCATAAACACTCAACATAAGTTCTTTGTTAAAAATTCAGGCAGCTTCTGAATATAAGAAATCAAGTTTAGAAGATAGTCGATTCATTCAAGGCTTTTGCAATATGAGAAAAGACTATACAGTGCTTTATTCACATAAATCAATTAAATTATATTATTATAATTATTTTACCTTACAGTACATTTGTTTTTTAAACGTTTGTTTTTTTAAAAATTTGTTTTCTAGTAGTACCAAGATGGTAATGTTACTTTGTGAATCAGGGAGCTTTATAAACCAGAAGTATTCTTTTAGCTTACTACATTTTATGTTGCAGATGGCAGTAAGTTAGTAAAGAAAGAAAAGAAAAAGCAAAAAGAAAGAAATAAAATAAAATGATTAGTGAGGGAAGAGTTGCATAAAAAAAGACACTACAAATTATTCATAATTGTGATGGGAAACAAATACTTGTTGGGTGGAAAGTGAAAACTTAATTTATTACCATTACAATGGACATTTTGTACTTAAACATACCTCGGTTTATTCTTCCTTCTAGTTGAGCCAATTTTTGGGGGCTTCAGTCCTATACATGTTACAGTCAAAGGTTTTTGGCCAACTATGATACACACAATAACGACTGGGGATAGGGTGTCCCTGTAACACGGGCATGTTTTGTCCTCTCGGCAAATCTGACCGGAATGCCGCAGACATGCCGATTTATACGGTTAAAGCCACTGCTTTACAAACCTGATGGTGCAGCGTCCTCAGCCATTCAAAAACCGTTTCATTTTTAGCCTTCGTGCTTATGCTCTTCTATAAACGAAACTTAGTTGCCACGGAGCCGCCAGCGAAAAACAACAATTTCATATCGTGTGCAACTTCAGTTCGGCTTTGGCAAATTATATAATTGAGCTTGAGAACTATCCAAAAGGTGAACGGAGTTTCAAAGCTAAGTTTACAGTTTTCTTTCTAAGTTTTGCCTTTTTACGCTGTCGATTAGACTCACGGCGAAAACATTGTAAAAGTTTCGTTGAGGTGTCTGCTGACCAATAAAATACTGTATCGTGCCTTCAAAAACGTATTTCCGCGGTGTCCATCAGAGGCGGTCGCTGTCGAGTGCTGAAATCTGTGTACGCCAGGTTTTATCTTTAAAGACAATAAACGTCCATCTGTCTTCAAATTCTCACATTCAGCATAATCCCACCACAGGTAAAAATATCTTTTCCAGAAGCAAAATAAGATTTCAGGAATCTGCAGCACTAGATCTAAATATTTTTTTTTTGCAACCTAGAATCATCCCAAACATTAATACCTCACCAGTTTAGGTTCGCGCATTCACGTGGTGGACCTTGTTTCACGTTTTTTTTTTTGTATTTGCTTTTAGCTATTTAATCTTATGTCTATAAGGGCATATTTTTTAAACTCCCGCAGCAGCATGACTTCAGTTAAACAAAAAGAAGAAAATTTTGAAATGGAGACACTGCCAACACATACATTCTTCTTTCATCTCAACATTGTGTGTGGGGCAGACTACTGAAGAGGATCGGTGTAAAGGGATCACGTTTTTCACCTTGCTTTGAGGTGTTCAATGTAATGTCTACACAAGGGCATGTTTCTTAAACAGACAAACCAGCAGGTCTTCTGTTGTTAAAACACAACGAAGCGACAAAATCATTGAGACGGAGACGTTACTATCTCAGATCTGCTGCTTTCATGTTGTGCGTGGAAAGATACTAAGATAATTGAAGAGACAGCCTCCTAAAAATATACCGTTTTGCTTTTATTTCATCGTTAGAACAGGCATTGATTCGTTTAGACTATGGTAAAACGTAGTCAAAGCAGTTACTCTAAAATTAGTAAAACCATTTTTTATTCATCCCATTGTGGTCCCTATTAAGCGAGACCGCGCTGAAATATGCAGCAAAAATAGTGAAGAACATTCTAGAAAGTATTGAAAACCAAAGAAAATGACAAAATTAAATCATTCTGTTTTCTCCATAATTAATCCTGTTTATTGACGTTAAAATCAGATTCACCTTTCAAACAAAACAATTCACAACTTTTCAAAACAAGACAAGTCAACAATTCCACTTTGGGTCCCAGCATGTCTGTGGATGTTTTCACACCTCTGTTATTTATGTTTGGCTACTCGCGTCATTAACATACAGAAGCAAAAAGAAATGCCTGCGTTAGAAATAGTGACCTTGTATCTTTCAAATGTTTTTCTTCTCTGCCATGGTTTGGAAAAAACAACGGAAGCCTACGATGTTTCAGGTTATAATTCGTTATTTCCTGTA